TCTTCCAGGAGAACACCGACACACTCGCTCGTTGTAAACAACAGCACTCTTCAGAGACATCAAACGATCAGCTCCGAAGCGAAAGGCAACTAGTGCGTGCATCCACTTCTGTATTTATACCCGTGCCATGGGGGCGGAGTGTGTGATGTAAGTCACGCACGCCAAATTCCATTGCCTCGTTCAATAGTACTCGAAGATGACTGGCTCCCTAGCGTGATCCCATTCAGTCGACGTCGACTATGTCTGACATTCTCGACTGAAAGGGAAACAAAAATTCATACCACACGCACATAAAGAACAAACTTACCCTGTATTATATGTATCTTTATAAGGGCTTTCGATTTAGCGTGTTAATTTAATTAATTAGTAACGGGAAAAAATAACACGTTAAAATTATTAACATATTTAATGCACCCGCCTCACCCCACCCCAAACCTACGTAGGTCATCTGACATTTCATATAGCTGTTGGTGAAAAATGTCTTATTTAAGAGTATTGTTTCATTAAAAAAATTACGTTCCATATTATTAAAATCCCATTAAAGGTATAGTTCACCCAAAAATGAAAATTCTGTCATCATTTACTCACCCTAATGGCCGTGGTAGCCTAAAAGGTTATGTGCAATAAATTATGTTGAATCAAATATACTATTTCTTTAGTTAGAAATACAAAAAGCTACTTTTTGTAATGTCTATTTGATACTGTTCAGTCTTACAGTGTAAATTGCAGGTTAAAATTTTCACATAAGATAAGATAATGCAATGTGCTTACTAAACATAAAGATAAGAACCGCCCACAATTGTTTTTTATGTTTTTTATACCAAAATGCTGCATATAATATGAAAGGTTGGTACGTTTTACAGTGGTTTTAAGCACGCCCCCTCCCTTCCACTAGGCTGGGCATGACGTCATAAAAGGGACTCCAAGCTTTTACTGTCTATGGCTGGTCTATGCTCCAAGCCGTTAGTCTAAATGGCAAGTAGGCTAGCAGTTATATTGGAGACCTAGCTAGCAAAAATGGTTAACTATTGTGTTTGTGCGGGATGTACGAATACATCAAAAACGGGGGAGAGGCTCCACAAGTTCCCCAAGGACAAACGACTGATTCGTGCCTGTAAGTGTTAGCATACCCGAGGTAGATCTCAGGTATGCAAGCCTGACCCTACCCGAGCACGTTGTGTCCGAGCCCAGCCCGGCCCGACACAGTAACTGTAATTATGAGCCCGAGCCCGATTTAAACCCAACCATTTTTTAATACGTGGGTCATTATTATAACTGACGTTCTCAACTACTTTCTATGTTACTTTCTCCCGCCCGCAACATTTTGTCCCGCTCCCGCCCGCAAAAAGACTTTTTTTCTGTACCTCCAAATACTTTCAAGTTAGCCTACGTGTCGCCACCATACACATCAGCATAAATGCTCCTGATAAATTATTTGTTATTAAAGCATTAACACACAAACCACACTGTTATAACATAAAAACAAGCAGGCTAACTTACAGTCATGCATGGTTTGGCCAGCATGACTGCGCGCAAAGTGCGCTCCCATAATAATTCCTAAAAAGCTGACATCAGTTCATCGCGATCTCACACATCTCTGTTATTTTCAATGAATCTTTCATAATATCTACACTTTGTTTGTTATAATTCGAGGATTTGCCAGCATACAGAATTCATCACTGAACAAAAAGTGTCACGAATCACACACAGGAACACAGAAATCCAAAAGCAGTAGTTTTTAATAGGGTAATCCAAATCGTAGTCTTCCAGGCAGGGGTCAAAATCCAAATAAACAATCCAAACACAAGAACTAAAACAAGAACAAACTAGAAAACAGACCTCAGAAGTGGTGTGACATATAACAACGACTCCGTAACAAACACTGACACAGACAGGGAATATATACACACAGATCTAACAATGTGATGGGAAACAGCTGAGTGCAATGAACTGATGAGTGACAGACAGAATGCTGGGAAATGAAGTCAAATGTGAAAGACACCGTGAGAACGAGTACCTCTAGTGACAACCCAGGGAAACACAACCAGACACTGTGACAAAAAGTCCGTTTTGAGCGGTGAGGGAAGTCTATCGTAAATGCTTCTGATTGGCCATTGCGTTCCTAGAAATCAACACATATATCTGTGATTGGCTACATCGCTCAACGCTGCAAACATGTTATAAATAGAAACTCTGGCCTGCAAATCGTTTCTATTTTGTTTTAGTTGTTCTTGTTGCTTTTCTGCAACAGGTGAATAAAAATGTATTAGTTTTTATGTTTTATTCATAGATATTTCTAGTTTGCGGGAGTACCGTGAATCGTTTTATTCTCCCTCAACCCGAACACACAGAGTGTGTGCATTACCGCCCACGCTCCCTCTTATGACGTCATCACCCAGTTACTGTAAAAACATGCTACCTTTGAAGAAACCCCAATAAATGTTATTTTAACGCATTTATTAACGCATTTTTAAATATATACATATTGAGCACTTTAATTTACACATTAGTTGGTTGTGGTGGTTAACCTGCAATTTACACTTTAACCAATTTAACAGGTCTCCCAAATCTGATCTGATCTCGTCATCTTGTGTTCTCGTCTAATGCTTTGTTCGTGTCCTGAATTTTTAAACTCAGATGTTTGTCCATCCCTTTGGAGGAGTTCTGATCAATTAGACATCTGATTAGTCACATGGTCTCTTAACTTTCCCAATTTAGCAGGGTATGATTTCGACATAAATTTTATAATGAGAGCACAATACATTTTACATGGATTTGATCAATACCATAATTCAAGAAATAAGAAATCATTGACACAGATACCAAGCACTCCATAATTCCCATGAAGTATATATTAAATTGTTATTAAAGGGACACTATGCAGCTTTTTTAGCTTAACTGAACAGCTTCAGAGTTATTGAAATGGTTATATAACTTCTTTCGAGTTGAATGGTGGGCGTCTCGACCCCCCCTGGTGCCTGTGAGCGAAAAAATCTCACTTGCAACTTCGGAACGGCGGGCCGCCGTGCTCAGTGTCAGGAAGTATCGCGTGATATCAGCTCTCGCGATGTAACATATTCCTTTACGGCAACTGCACACATACACACAGGAACAAGGTATAGAGGGATGGAGTTTGTCACACTATCGTCATGGCTGAGCCGGCATATAAGATGCAGAAAGCCAGGAAAGCATTGTCGGAGGAACAGAGAAAGAGGAAACGGCAGACTGACCGAGCGAGGAGTCGGACACGAGCATAGGCATAATTTGCGGGTGTGTTATGTCCCCATTGAAACCTCTCGCGGCACGGATGTACCATTACAAACAAATAAAACATCTCCAGGTAACTCTAGTAGAGCATTCATTTCGTTCGTTTGTTAAATAAGAGGCGATCTGAAATGTGTTATTTTTGAAATCAAGTGACCAAAGTGCTCGTTGCCTCTGCGATCAGTGGTGCAGATAAGTTACAGTGTTCTGTTGTGCGCGCGCACTGTCTTCACCATAGACTGCACACGGACGCGTCCCTGAATCCGTTGCGGGGACTGAGAGACTCTCTATATTTTGTTATGGTGAAATCACAAAACCTAATGCACAAAAAACATGTCCCTGCTTGAAATACAACCACTAATAAACAATCGGTTTTGATGAGGAAAATAAACTATACTACTAGTACCGATTAGAACCCAGAACCTCTGACACACTTGGCAAAAGTTCTGCCTCTGGACCATTAAAGTTCATGGGGATAATTGTCGGATCTATGTATTTAATCACGTGAAAATTCTCACCACTAACAACATATATTATATCTCATTAAACGACAAATTAAACACAATGTACTATTGTATACTATGTAATAGGCCATGTCACGCTCTGAGTGAGTGGTATTTACGACAGTAACGTTAAATTCAAGTACTCCACAGCAACTCTAGGGGTCGCTGTTTGACAAAAACGGGATTCCTGCATAATGCCCCTTTAAAAAGGATATAAACAATGAGCGATTACAACATTATAGTCAAATGTGGATTACAGATCTAATGTAGAATTATGTAATGAAATGATGCTTGATTATAAGCCCGTCTAACATAATTTTGGAATGATCTGATGCATTTTGATATGTACAGGCAGTCTCTGTGGTTTTAAAGAAGATTTTAGTCCTGCGTTCCAGACGTCACATTTAGAGGTCTTAAAAGAAGAAAGTCTGTTTTGGATCTCTGTCTTGGGGATCAAACAACTGTTTGCGTTAACTCATGATTTTCCTTGTAAGACTCAAGATGTGCCATCTCTTCGACCATTAAGGCCTGTTCACACCAAGAATGATAACTATAAAGATAACTATAACGATAACTACAACCCCATTTCCAGAAAAGTTGGGACATTTTGTAGAATTCAATAAAATCATCCATCTGTGATTTGTGAATTCTCTTTTACCTTTTTTAACTGACAAAAGTACAAAGAAAAGTGTCCCAATGTTTTCACTGACCACATAATTGTATTTTGTAAATATGAACAAATTTTGATTAACTTATCAACTTTGATTAATTGATTTAGGCTGGTTTATGCTGGTTTATGCTGCTTAGAGCTGGTATAGTGCTGGTCTAGCTCGGAGACCATAATAGTCATGCTGTTCTCAAGCAAAACTGAGCTGGTGTAGCTGGTCCACCAGCACATCCGCTTCCTATGCTGGTGAGCAGCAAACCAGCAACCAGCAACCAGCATTCCATGTTGGTCCTAGCATGCAAAACATACTTTATGCTGGTGACCAGCAATGCTATATTTTTTAGCAGGGTAGAGTCACATTTCGTGCAAATGTTATAAAAAAATAAGTACTTTTTTTTACAGTTTTTGTATGATGGTCTAATTTTTTTCTGATTAAACACATTTTGAAGATTAAGGAGGAGGGACATTGTCATCATTAGATATTAGATATAGTAAATCTAGCATTGTATTTTACTGTATTGAAGAGGCTATGATGTTAGCAGCTGTAAATACAATAAGACACTTACCATTTGACCGATCTCCCCTGGATTTCCAGGGTCTCCCTGTGAGGGACACAACATATATTTAGTCCTAACTGTTAATAGGAAACATTCAAATGATTAGTTTCTTTCTTAGTAACAGAAAATTAATATATATATATATATATATATATATATAATTATCTTGACTTAACTGAATAAGACAAACTTCTCCCCAGAGATGGGAACGAGATGCTGCATCATTGCATTGATACTATGGGAACATCTTCAGTATGTGCCATTGTCTGAATAACGTGTTCACACGCGCCAATACTATTGGCCATGGACAAAGTCAGGTGACACTACGTAGTATGTGACTGTCTATAAAATGGGACCTGAACACAGCGTCATCAGATTAATTTGAAGAAGCCACACAGGCATAATTGAAGTATGGCAATGCGACGCAGTGTCTCGTTCCCATCTCAGGGAAATGGGTTACGTACCCCAGCAAACACGTGTATGTGGGCCCCACATGGGTTACACATGGGCTACGTGGGTACAGAGTGGGCATGGGCTCAAAATGGGCATCTTATCTGGGGCCCACTTGGGTCAACTAAGTAGGTCCAACATGGGCAAACCCAGGTGGGCTCCCCATATGGGACCTAGTTGGTTCACTAATGGGAAATTGAGTACATGGGTTAAAAATGGGCTACAAGGGGACTAATTCAGTTTACCAAGACAAGTGCAAAAAGTCAATCCCAAAGATTGATTACACTGCACCTTTGAAAAAGAAAGTATTGTTGTTTTGACACTTTAACATGTGACTTTAATCTATTAAAAATCTATAAATGCCAACACAATTGCAATTGTACCCAATTTTTGCAAATTAAAAGGACCAAGAAACTTCGGATACAGAGAAAAAAAGAAAAGAAAAAAAAAAGACTTGAAAGTGTACAAATCTTTGGCAGGATGGATCTCGCGAGATTTCATTCAGCAATTCCCATCCCCCACTCCACGCCCTGAACCGCGCGGGCGCCATTGCACTCTCACTCATTCTGCTGTAATTTTCGGGAGGAGATTCTTGCTGTATTCAAGGTAAGAACTACAATCTTTTAAAAACTGAAATGTTAATTAAAATACATTGTTTTCAAAACATAATGTTAACCAAAAGCTTATTGTCACGTTAGAATTTCAGTTAGAATTTCGAGTTCCCTCAGATCGCGCCATTTTCCCTTATTTCTGGCGCTCTGCACGCTATTATAGCAAGTAATATTCTTAGTTTCTTATAATTGTTAAAGGTCAACTCTCCCAAAAAATGCAACCTAGGGCCTTTTTGTGAATCTACCCGAGGCAGACCTTTGTTTAAAAGCATAATTATGATGGAAACGCCAGTATTAAGATTGACCGTATTTTAGCTGTTGTTGTTTCCGGCCGCCGGTTTCTTGTCAGTCAAAAATAGTCGAAAAAATACTATTTGAACTGTGTATTATAACAAGTTGATTGGAGTTGAGACTCCAGCATAAAAATTGTACCACTGTTTTACAATATAAATCCCACAATGGCAGCAGTTTCTTAATTTTTATAAGATGTGCACATTAAACACCCAAAATGAAAGCAGGACTTATTAATATTTCGAATTTAATTAACGTTACCCGACAAGCCTGTTTAATCTGTCTGCTACCGTCTATATTGTGATCACAGAACAGCGTCATACAGCGACCATTTTAGCTTTTATTCTAAAAGTGTGCACATTCAATTAAATATATAGGCTACATTCTTGATGTTTAATTTTAAATAAATCTTTAATAAATGTCTATTTTGTCACAGAACAACTAGTTTTCACTGAATTATGATATCTGAGAAGCTTTAACACCATCTCGGCAACCCTTTGGATTCCTGTGCTATTTTTTCCTTTCTTTATTTAGTGCTAATTCAAAAACAACTGCACAAAAGATACCCAATATAGTTACACTTTAGAATACTGTTTCAAATAATTAGTAATTCCTTTTGATGGATTTGGTAACACACATGTACAGTATTTTAAACGTTTACAGGGGTAAGTCGTGATTTTATTGCCTTCTGAATCCATAATGTCAGTGTATTGTATTGTATGTATTGTGTATCTATCTAGTGTATGACTCGATACACAATACACATAGATTACTACTTCTGATGTAAAATAGCCATCGATTAACCTATGGCTGCACGATTTGGGAGGAAATGTAATTGTGATTATTCAGGTTAATTTTTTTGTGTTGTCTCCCCCATAATGATAATCTTGTTTTTCCTTAGGTTGGCATGGTGGACTCACTCTCGCTGTTATCCAAGGTAAATTATCAACACTATCACCCCTTAAATGTGTTTTATTTAACTAAATACATCATAATCAGCTAAAAAGCATGCGCAGGTCACTTTACTTCCTGAACAAGTGCGTAGCCGAGTCCGTGTTGCTTTCACATTCACGCGAACCGCAGCACGGATCAAGTGCAACCGAACTCAGAGCGCCTCCTCCAGGCAGTCTCGGGTTCGGTACCCCAGTGCGCACCCGGGTCCGCATGACAGCGTTCACATTAGCGATTTTTCATGCAAACAGTGCTCCGTTCCGAACTAAACTGCCAGTGTGAAAGCACCCTAGACTTTTCAAGTAAGCCAACTGAAGTAGCCTACTGTACACGTTAGCGCCTATTTGTTTACGCTAGGAATTCGCAGGCTAAGTGACTGAGGGTGCTTTCACACTGGCAGTTTAGTTCGGTAACTAACTAACATTAGCCCAGTGCATAACAACAATCGTTGATTGCTGAACAGAAATCGTGTCAGATGTGGAGTGAAAAATGTCAAGGTGGAGATAACTGCTTTGCTGCAAGGGCTCAAATATGGAATTTAATCTCACTCTAATGCTCTTTTATGTATTTTTCAGGAGGCTTGAAAAAAAATGCCCTTACAAACCAAATTGCCAGAAGAGACGCAGAAAAGGCAGTGTCAAAGTGGCTAATCGGTGCCAGGGACTGGGGAAGAAAGCGTACTGCGAGGGCACATGGTGGAGAGCAAGATGGGTAAAAGTCTTAAGATATGCTTGTTTTTATATGGAAATACAAACTTTAAAAAGACAAGAATGATTGTAGCCAAAAGATATTGAATCAGGGGTTTTCAAACTTGTCCTGGGAAACCTCAGCACTGCACACCCACTTCAGATCTAGCAGTTTCTACTAATGAGCTAATGTGATGAATCAGGTGTATTAGATGTGGGAGACATACAAAGTCTGCATCCGAAAACTTAGGCAGCTGACTCATTGCCTTGCTGCCTTATCAGGCAATGTCTTAGCAGGCAGCGTTTACACACTAAGGTGCCTCACAAAACTGATTTTAGACAGACTTATGAGGCAGCATAATGGTTTAACAACAAAGTGAACATTTAATGACTTGAATATTGAAATTACTTCAAAAGAGGTAAAAATGGGTCAAAATGTACATTTTGTGCATTCAATATGTGCAGATGGTGTTCCAGGACAGGTTTGCAAACCCCCTTATCTTGATAAACTTGATGTGGGGCACCAAAAGGCTAACCTGACACATCTGTTTGAACTGTGAAAAGGAATTAAAAAAAGTGGCATAATGGTTGATTCATTCATTTATTTTCTCTTTTCAAAGGACCGTTGGGAGAGCGACGACAGAGGAGTGAGAAGCTGTTTTGGAAATTGTCAGGAGCTTTAACTTTTTTTATAGTTAACATTTTGATACTTGTGTTTTATAAAGTTGTAAATGTGCAATGTTCTAATAGTCATGTTAAAATTGTTATTATAACTTGCTTAATAAAGTAAAGCATGAACTACTGCTTCTGTTCATTGAATACCTTTAACATTTTAGTGTAGTTTAGTGGATTACATGTAATGTTTGTATTTAGGGGTTTACTGTAAAATAAGGTAACCCAAACAAACAAATATAGTAGCCCATATATATACCTGTTGTGGCCCATAAGAGCCCTAGATAAGACCTATCTGGGTCCCATCAACAACCCATGTGGGCAGACTCCTGTAGGCCCTAAATGGGAGCTACCTAGGTTACCCATATGGGCCCGATATGGAGCCCATCAAGATCCCATCATCAACCCATCTGGGCTAACCCATGTGGGGCCTCCATGGAAACTGAGGACAAAATTACCTGGGTCCCAGTTGGGTAGCCCAGGTGGGCCCCAGATATCAGCCCAAGTACAACCCCTTTGGGCCCCACATGGGTGTGTTGGCTGGGACATATCCCTGAGATGTTCCCTTTCGAGGGAATGTCAATGCTGCCTCATTATGTTGAAACTATGGGGACATTAATATCCACTATGCCATACTGAATGAATGCCTGCACCACAGGTTGTGAAAACTATACACAAGCACAAAACTGTAGTTACAGGAATGAATCAACCCAAAAGGATTTGCGATCCAGGGGTTGAATTCACATCCACACTGTAAAACCTAATGAATTTGTGCGGAGAGGACTAGCCTGCCACAGCTCAAACATCTTGCAAAGGCACACCTCTCGCAACGCCTTTGAGGCAGCCACACTCGGAGTAGAATGGGCTCTGACGGCAAGAGGCGAAGCGATACTGCGTGACTTGTAACCATATCCAAAACCCAATGTGATATACCGTAAAACTTCAAATAATGGCCAAATCCCAAATAGACGCCTGTCTCTTTTACACGCCTGGTGTGGCGACAGGTTTGGGTAAATAAAGGCCGGTCTCAAATAGAGGCCAGGTCTGTTTTTTAGTTTCGGGTTGTATTTAATCCTCTATAACCGTCAGATCGTCCGCTTTTTGGCGGCCGCCAAAGCAAATTGTTGTCCCTCCAAAGCCTTTTTTGATCGATGAGTGATGTAGAATAACTGGTGCGCCTGACAGGGCGCGTTACGAGCAGAGAGAGAGAGCGCCCCGGCCGCGCGCGCGCACTCTCACGTCTTCAAACAACACGAGCGCTGTCTTGCTCTCTCTCCCTCGCGCATATTAATCAAAATCAATTGACGCGATAGTAAAAGGTCGGCGGACCGCAGTTTCACGTGGAGCATTTGGAGATTTTTAGAGATTAGAGACAGGCCTACTC